GAGGTAAACTTTTGTAGTATATCTGATCTTCACATATAATAATTAAAAAGCACTGCCTTTCGGTTCGTGTGTTTTTTTTGTAAGTGGATTAAGAAATACAAGGCAATTTTGTAGACGGTTTATCTCAGTGAAGAGATACTGTAAAGCTCGAAGAATATTTTCTTATATACCTATCACATATGGATTTTTATATGTTGAAGAATTTAATTTCACTCTTTACTTGGTGAGCGTTTAGCTTTCTATTATAAAACCTATTTCGCTGTATACTTTTGCCGTATATATTTTTAAGGTTCAAGAGCATATTTCGACCTTTAACATTTATTTTACATTATAGGTGAACAGATTTCCATTTTCTTTTATACCTTGTTCCGATATAAAATATCGTGATCACCTCGAAAAGACTAACAATTGAAAGAAATACTTTCAAATGTATTGGACTAGAAACGATGACAAAATATGATATACCTAGATTTGAATGCATGTTCAAATTACTACTTTGTTTAAATCTTGATATTTTATACTGAAATTTGTTTTTTATTAGCTCGTGATCTGCTATGCTCCTCATCCTGTCTGCTTGATGCAAATATTAGAAGTTCCGATGAAAGCCATTTCAACAAATAACATAATAATGGATTAGGAATGAAACTGTCATAAGTATTGTTATTACTTTATTTCTTTCTGTCCTCTTTTTAAATCAAAAGCAATTGTCAGTTTCATAAAATTGAAATAACAAAGCATATTTTACAAATATACATCTTCAATAAAAAAATACTAATCAATAAATATTTATTTAAAATATAATTCAAAGAACAAACTATCAAATACATATATACAAGTTTCAAACTTAAATGTATAGTAACTTCCTAACTTAACTTTACAAAATAATATGATGTATTTTAAAGTTATGAAGATTTTATACACGGAACATTTATATGAAACATCAATTTTACTTACCACTTATTTTAGTTTAAATGAAATGATGAACACTGATATTTTTATCTCAATACAGGCTGTTTGTACAAGTAGGTAATCTACAACAATTTTTTTAAATTTTCTGAATGTTACAGATGTTTTTAAATATTTCATGTAGAAAAAGCTTCATAGCAAATTTAAATACTCCGTTGCAGACTACTTACTATCGCAATTAAGTTGTCTCTGGAATCGGGAAGACAATACAAAAAAATATAGAATTACTGTAAATAGGTGTTTCTTTACTGTGCATAGGAATTTATTTGTTTTGGTAGAAATTATATTTTCTAATACTTATTCGATGTAGACAGTCCTGAAATTACCTCGAAATACTTAAACACACTTTATTGCTCTTAAAAGTTAAGCCTATTGGTCAAATTACCTAATGTAGATTTCCTATAATTGCACGTTTTATCTAAAGTTTGATTGTATTTCGCTACAGTTTGTAAAAGAACATCAGAAATTGAAAAATCTTCACAATAATGACACTGTTTTACATTCAACATTTATTTATCTAGAGGAGTTTATTTATTTTAGTTAGGTATTTATAATTAATTAGAATACTTTGACACAACCAAGATGCTACATTTTCTTTTCCCACTGGCCTCATCGAAATATGTACATATATATTTAATGAACAACTAATTATGATACGTATATTTCACAAAATAGGCCGCACAGGTTTCTGTCTAAATTCTCACCTCCCAGAATGGCTATTATTTTTTGAGACTATTAAGATTCTAAAGAAAATTTCACAAGATAAAGTCACAAAATTAAAATAGTACAGTGTAAAGTATTTTTTTTCGTACTAGGATTTTTTTCCATGTCATTTAATTGTAACATAATACAGGAAAGGAAATAAGACATTCATATTAACTATTTTCTCACATGTATGTAAAGGTCATGAAGCTTACCAGCAATTAGGCCATGCTTGGTCCTTTTTGCCTGCTAACTTACACTACCCTCCACCTTAACAATCATAAACATAAGAAAGATAGTGTTTTTTAGCGCATAAACGGCGAAGTTAACCTGGGAAACTCATAAAAGTCAAAAAACGGTTTTTCGATAATAAAAAAAACATGGAACTCCAATCGAAAAAAGTTAAATGAGAAAGTTGTGACTATTAAAAAACCTATTGATTGGTATTTTTAAATATAATCGATTGCTATATTACTTTTCGAGATTTATCGAAAAAACTCAAAAATTGACTTTTTTGTTTTGCAAATTAAGGTTTTGAAACTTGTTACTTAATGTAAATGTAGCCCTCGGCAAGCAAAAGAAGTGCATCTTTTTAAAATGTTTTTTAGTTTTGAAGTTATAGACAAACAAATCAAAATATTGATATTTTAGGTGATCGCCACAGAGTTATTTTCTAAAATGTTACCCTTTTATCAGATCACAATTTATACTACTTGTTAATCTGACAAAATTATTTGGTGCATTCCCTGCGCGGACATTCTAATGTGCCATTCATTTCACATAATGCTCCAATATGTTCAACTTGCACGCTTGTACTTGGGATGTTCCGTTGTTGCAAATGCCTGTTTTTACCTTTGCCTATCATGTACAAAAAAAGAGACAAGTGGGGATGGTTTGACTTCTTGAAATCCTGCTCTGTCTCGGTTTTAATTTATGGCGTATCAAGTGTGGATCATAACCGTACTAATAGGAAAGACGTGTCATTATTTTTACAGTTTAGTTTTAAGAATGGAAAATAGAAAATGAAAAAGTGTTGTTAAACATGGAACCATGTGTGGGTATAAGTGGCCAATCTCATAACCAGTGTAGTCGTAAACGACCGAATTTAAGAGATTCAGAACGTTGTACGAAAAACAATGAGTATAAGAAAATGTGTTGTAGAAATGTATAGTTATTTAAGAAAACTACTTGTCACACTCGTGGTAAAAAAGATTTTAACTGATAATCCGTAGGATTCACGGATTTTATTTAAAAATGAACATTTAGTTAATTTACCCAACTTTTGACACCCTGTAACTTCCTAGAGAAACGTGAAAATAAAAACTTCTTGTTATAAACCGCAAATATCAGTAGATTACGTAAGTGAAGCTTGAACAAACTAAATTAACACTATATACATACATTCGTACTTAATAATTTCTTTAAATGATACATCCATGGAATTGCAATCCCTGCACAGCTTACCTGTCGCACAGAATCAGTCACTGGCTACTAACTTGGGCTTAAAATATATATTATTTTCCGTAGAATTCAGTAGCGTACCCAATTTTATAATAACCGACTATTTTCAATTGTCAAACAAAAAGTTAAATTTATTAAAATGGAAACTTTAAATGGCCATGGCATAATCAACATGCTTTCCAAAAATATGTATATTGTTTATCATACCTGTCACAGAAAATAAAATCTCCCTATGTTCCGTTTAGTAACTCATTTTTTTAATCACAACTAGAGTTTCTGATTTCTCGGCCTATTTTTTTCTCGGGTCTCGAGAATTCTCGACTAGGAATTCCCGGGAATTCTCGAATTCTCGAGAAATTTCTAAAACTTAAAAAAGTCATAATTTTGGTATTGCAATGCGAAATATAAGCATGCTATTATACTTAACAATCATCATTAACATTTATTATTTATTCAGTATTTTTATTAATTACTTATGTTTCTACTTCTACTAACAAAACTAAATTAAACTTTGAGTTTCTTCTTAAAAACCTTTAACTTGTTTTTTTAATAAACACTTTCNTGAAAAACAAATGAAGTCCAAACAAAATGGCCGCGGGTGTTAACTTTGAACTTCATTTGTTTTTCTACTATCATTTTCGAAAACTTCATAAAAAATCGTGCAACTTTTGTATTTCACATTTTTTTATAACTCTTAAAACAAAAAAGTTAAAGGGGGGTCAAAATATAGTGAATCACCCTGTACATTAAAAAAAAAAGAATCATCAAAGTAAACTAAAGCCTTAAAAACTTAAAATAAATAAATCATGAGCTGGTAGAGAAACCACTTTAACCGCTCAGTTATTTGTCGAGAAACGAATTGAACGCATGAACGAAACGAATTCCAGTCAAGAACTTAAGACGCGCGTGATTTTTAAATTTCTCGATTTCTCGACACTTTTTTCTCGTCTCGAGTAAGGTCAGATTTCCCGGGAATTCTCGCTTCGAGAAATCTCGACGAGAAACCCTAATCACAACCAATTTTATATCTTTTTTAATGTAGAAAAAAGAATTGACTCCAAGTATATCTTTTTTGCTATTTGAGATAAATATTACGAACTACACCTATATTTTAGAAAAGTGCAGTACACCCTCTTTTCAACTATGTTCTAGGCACTATGATTTTTATTAGTCTATTGAATAAAAGTTCAAGTTTCAAAAAAAAATTAAATCGTACTTACTATACTACAGAGGCTACTTGACTCAAATATTAAAATTCCCATTTTTTTGACTTTAAGTACAAAACTAAGAAAAAACATGAAAATCGTTGTAATCTGAGATTACTTTAAAAAAAGCGATCCATCAACATTAGCAGAACTTATATCTTTAATATTAGCCGAGATGGCCTAAACTTGATATAGAAAATGGGTTTAGTATAGACACTAATTATGTTTTTTTTAATAATTTATAGTAGGTATAAATGAAAATAATATTTTAGAAATTATATATATTTTTTATTACATTTACAAATATATTCACGTATATGGAAAATTGGAAAGTTTTAACTACCAATTTTGTATCATGGGTTTGAGCTTTCAGAAAATATTCATAAAATGGTTAATTTATGTAAAACACTTACAAATTTTTAAATGAGTACACACAGAAAACAATGCCATGAAAATTTACACAATTGTTCCTAAAATAGTGATATGAACAAGTTGTATAAAATTATGCGATATCTACAATTTGTTGGTAACAATTTGTAAAAATAATCGCATTGGAAACCTCGAATTAGTGTCTGTCCCCATTTTAAGGACAATTATGTGAATTTTCATGTTTTTCCGGTTATGAAAATAAAAAAGAAATCAATTACTTAATTTTTTAATCTATGAATAATCTGATCTAATAAATAATTTAGAACAACTGTTTTATAATAAAAAATTGATTGCTTGTTATTTATTTTGTTAACGGAATTGAATATACCCAGAGGGGTAACCATACAAAGACAAATTAGAATAAAAACCGAAAATGTTTGACTGTGTATTCTTTATCAACCAAAAGATGGATAAACGTTTTGCTATATGGTTTCTATAAAGTGTTTTGAATATTTTTACATGTTTGAATAGAACCTTTCTTGATGAAATACTGATCGGGATTTAAGAGATGGGCCGGACAAAAGATACAGCTGAAAACAGTAATTCATAAGAAAAAATACGTGGTTTATTTTTTATTTACTTACATAAAAATCCTAAAATTTAACTTAAATAATAATGTATATTTATTTCTCTCCCATTATTTACATTCTCCATACCAAGTAATTTCCTTTGCAAACATAAATTACTCTTTGTGAATATTGATTTTTCCTTTCAGCGGCCTATTTTGGTAACAGAAACTGTAGCCATTTACACAAATTGGTGTCGGAGTATTTTGCACCCAGATATAATTTTGGAGTAGTTATACTAATTACGCTTTTATTCGCCGATGTTACTTAGAGTACGTGATAAAAAACACCTATAATTGGAACCTACTGTTGGAAAAAATTAAGTTTTATATTTTTTCCAAGAAAAAGAAAAATTATAAAAAATTTCTGCTTTAGTGAGAAACATAAGGTAATCCTATTTTTGGTATTGTAATATCACTTTTCTTGGCAATGATGTGGAGAAGAAAATGTAGCACTCCTTTGTTACTATTGCATTCTTTAGATACTTATGTTTATTAAAATGTAACATATTTTTGTCCAGCCAAGAGATTAAATACACACAAATCTTTACACATGGTGTAAAGTCTTCATATAGAAAAAACAGATATCAGTCTATTAGGCATATAACTGTGACTCTTAATACGTTCTTCTTGAACATCGTATAAGGTTTACAGGGACCTTTTGATCAGATCCAATAAAAAAAATAATAAACTATTATTAGTACATTCTTTAGGTGACACAATTGCATTAGTAATATCACTCGAATTAGTAATTAATAAAAATAAGACATTTGGCAAATGGTATATACAAATACTAATATAAATGTAACATACTAAATCACGTTTGCATTATTTCACTCACTCTGTCAGAACTTATGCCACGCTAAAAATATAGATAAAAACAGCACCATCTTTTAAGTATTACCTTACAAACTAGTAACAAGCTTACTACTCCTTTCAGAAACTCGTAGTAGTAAGTCTGCTACTAGTTAAGTCTACTCAGAGACTCGAACCGAAGTCAGAACATCTTCTATCGACATGTTTGAGGTATGTTTCCGAGTATATACTCCTTGTTCTATCCTCATATCTTATGGAAGGTCTCCTATTATCGATAAAGTCCAAATTGGAAGGCGGACTGTGACACAAACTGCAAAATGCGCAATGCAACGTGTTTTTGAATGCTTCTCTAAAATCTCTATTGAAGTACGCGTATATTATTGGGTTCAAAGTTGAATTGAAGTATCCGATCCAAAAAACAATGGCCACAACCTCTTCTGGACAGTGCTCTTTACAGGTATCACAAATATGTACAGTAAGATACCAAACAAAGAAAGGCAGCCAACATAATATGAAGGTTCCCATTATAATACCCAAAGTCCTTGCTGCCTTGTGTTCTCGCTTCATTTTTGAAATATTTCGTTCTCTGGTTGGTGTGTGATGTAAGTCTTGGTTAATCTCGTGCAGGGTAAGGGTTTTTGACGATCCTCCAGAATTGGAAAGCATATCGCCGTTGGTGTTGTTCTGATGCAGCAAGAGTGCCGCGCCATGTCGATTGTACATCTCCTTTTCTTGTTTATTGGCTTCTATGAATATGGCCAGGTACATGGTTATCATTATTGTACAGGGTATCCAAAAGGATATGCTGCTGCTTATAAGTGCATAAGTAGTGTTCACTACAAACTGGCAATCATTTTGGTTTTCTTCTCTATGTTTCTTATTCTCGGGAGTCGTGTACCAGCCCATGAAGATGGGAAGAAAACTAATCATCGCTGGACTGATCCACGTATTAAGAAGCATCAAAGCGACTACTTTTTTAGTCATATACAAAGTATACTGCAGCGGTTTCACAATTGCGTAGAATCTATCTACACTGATGCAACAGAGATGTAGTATGGAAGCCGTTGAAAAGTAGACATCTAGAGAGTTCCACACGTCACACATATAATAACCGAATAACCACCTATCGAAAATTTGAACACTGGCGTTAAACGTCATCGCGAACATAGCCACTAACATATCCGCTAATGCCAAAGAAATAACGTAATAATTTGTGATTATCCTCAGCTTTCTGTGCCTCATAACTGACACTATAACCAAGAGGTTTCCAAAAATCGACGCTATTATGATAATACCCATAATAGTGGCTTTTATGAACAACACAAATGAATCGGTCCATTCTGAATCTGATTGAGTGGCTTGGGTTGTGGACACGTTATATGTTTCGTTATCCATAACACTAGCTTGTTTTACAGCAGCAGTAAACGATTATTGACGTGCCTCTGCTTGAATCCGACACAAATTGATCTGCGGCGAAACATTGTTCATGTTATTACGTTTTGCGGGTCGGTATATGGGGATATAATTGATAGAATGCCAGTCCTTTTGTTCCAGGGCTGATGGGTTAATCACTGAAGTGGTTCCGGATCAATCTGAAACAAAGAAATGCAATTATTAGATATGACTTTATCCTCAAAGTAGTGATAAAATTAGAGCTTAATTAATCTACTGTATCATTGAAATGTGTCATAAAGTGATGCTGTTTGTTATATACGAGGAAAAGTCATTAAATAACAGAAGCTGTTTAATAACAGTGGTTCAGAATTGCTTAAATAAATTGTTTACGTCTTATTTTATTACAGAGTTTGTTCTCTTGTGTGTCACTTGATCTACTTGTCCGTAAGTTTTTTCAAAAAAACTTTTTGGTGCAGTTTTCAACCAACTTCACCATTTCAGTTAGTTGATTACGTTCTGTAAACTTCTTGTTCTGTAAATGTTCTTTGAAAAGAAGATTAAATAGTTCAGAATATGATGCCAATTTGAGAGTATGATGATTCAATTTTGGAGTGTTTGTGGACATCTAGAGTATGAAGAGTTCGATCAGTTTCGGCTGTATTACGTGTTTCAGAAGCTTTCTAGCATGTCACCATAGTGACTGCTCAACTGACTGTCTCGTCTACTATTTGAGGGATTTGAAGGGACATTTTTGGTGTTAGAAGTTTATGGATCGATATGAAAACTAGAGGGGGTGTAAAATAAAATGAAAAATTACTATAAAGATTTTTTTTTAATTGATGATTGATTGATTGATTGATCTATATTGTATTTTGTATTTCGTGATCTTGTAACTGGGCTAATTCCATGGAATGTTGTAGTTTATAAAATTCTACCTATTAATTGTATCCAGAAGGAAATATCTTGAATTTAATTGAATAAAACTCATTGGTAATATTTTAGTTTCAAATTGTGTTTGTGAAGTTTTTATTAACAATTCGGTTCTTAAAATTAAATTTAATTAGAATTTCATACGAATCACGATATGCATTCGATGTCATTCTGCCACTTTTCCCGAAAACATTGCGCTTTACGAAAAAAAATATCAAGAGATAAAAAAGTTTTTAAATTCAATGGCCTTCTAGTGGACTAACAAGAAATTCAAATATTCGACCAAATTTTTTTGGCTCCAAAGACAAGGAGGCCCACGAAAAGGTGTCTTGAGGGGGTTCCCCGCCAAAAAGCATAGCACTATCAGAGTCCATACACCAGAAAACCAAATTTATTGATTCTCGAACAACATGGTTATGAGATATAGAGATACTATTTTTAGGGCTCGATTTTAGGGGGCTGTAACTTCGAAAGAGGGGGTCACTTGGCAAAAATAAAAAATACGGGTTCCCTAAATTAGTAATAAGTTAGTAATAACTAAGTAATAAGTTTCTAAGTAGAAGTGGCTGTCTATCATATATTTTTTTTAAATCCAAGCCGTTAGTATCTAAACACTCTTATAATCATGAAACGAAATATTAGTTAAACACTTCTTAATATAATCAAGTTAAATACATCATTTGTTTCGAATACGGAAAGCGCCAGACTTCACTCTCTGCCATTCCTCTTCCAGAATAACTTTGCAACACTCAGTTCAAATGACTCGTTGCGGTTTATCCGAGAGTTTATAAGTTTGAGACAACGCGTTAATTGAAAAATTCTCTCGGCGGTAATTAAACAAAATATTGTTTTGTGAAAAGTTTTGACAAATGCTTCCTCGGAGACTGCCGAATACGTCTATGTCCTTTCAGAATTAATTTGCATCATTGGAGCAACCACTTCATTTAATTCACACCATTCAAGCTCTCGTTAATGAAAATATACAGCTGGTCCATTTATAATAAAAAATAAAATATAAAATTAAGGACATCCATTGCATAAGAGACTGAGCAGATTTGGAGGATTCAATGAAAAATTTGTAGAAAATGAGCACTTTAAAGTTCCTTTAAAGTCAAGTCTGGCTGTAAATTGTAAGAAATTAGTTTTTTTTTTAATATACAGGTTCCAACTTCAAATTTTTACATGGCTACTTGATTTTTTAAATTAAAATTATAATTATATTTTGGTTACTTATTTATGAAGACCCCATAAATTATACAGCGTTGTAAAGTAATTTCCCTTTCTTCTAATAAGGCAAAAATTCAATATGGTGTCCATAAGAAAAACAAAAGTTAATTACCGCTCAGCGCACATTTTTGGTACGTCAATACTGACAGCAAAAATCGATTCCTCACATCATTTAATATCAGATAACACATTTTTTTCCAAAAATTTTTAAAAACAGGAAAAATACAATTAAAAAAGAAATGGCATAAAATCGGTTTTCTTCGAATATCTTCTGAAATATTCGGAATTTTCTAAATTTCAAAGCGATCGCCATCAAATTCTGCACATTTTTGCCCATTTAACAATTTCTGTAACTCTTAAAATAATTAAATAGTTGTAACCCTGTATGTACGTATATTATTAGCTCTAGTACTTTTACTTTATTACAAATACATTAAGCTAATTCAAATAAATTCAAAATATTTTATACATATAGCTACTATTAAATAAAGTTATATAAAGGTTTTTGACACCAAAAATGTAGGTGTGCAAAATATATCTAATCTCTTAGACCTGACTCTTAACTGATGTTATTGTGGGAATTAACTACTTTATACTCTAACTAATAATTAATAATAACAATTAATATGTCTGAATTAATATTATTTAGATATGTCAATTTCAATTTTTATTTTACATACTTATTTATTACTAGTTAGACAGGATTCTTAGAAATATTTAGAATTTGTTTCAATTAGTTTAATATCTTTAAAATAAAACAATTGTAAAACATAATCGTCAAAGTTTGAATTAAAATTAATTTGAAGAAATATAAAAAATAAAAGCTTATTCTTTACCGCCATTTTACATTTCATGCTGTTCTCCGTCACCTTTGTTTATGTTTTTGTGAACATGTGGTTTAGCTCTCATAATGGGTTCACCTTATCAATGAAAACTCCATTTTTAAAGGAGCTCCACAGAAAATAGTTTCAATCTATCGAATTTCGACTGTTGATAGGTATATACATATAAAGGTTATAGAAGAATATTCACAAATGGTTGTAGTAAAATGAAAGTCCTGTATGATTTAACCTAATAGGAACATAATCATTGCATACTTCATGAAGAGAAACTAAGCACCAGCAAATTTTGCTCAAATCAGTTAACTGGGTTCTAAGTTAAAGAGAAAACAAGAAATAAAAAAAAACTGTAATGCCTTGTAACATTTTTGCGACATTTTTCGTTTAAACAAGTTTGGTTACATCGACACCACTTCGGTGCTAGATTATGCTCTTGAAGTATGTAATATTGGTTAGGTGAAACCCTGTATAATGTTATATTCTATTCCTGATTTCTTTTGGTCATAATAAAATCTTTACAAAAATTGTAATTATGTAACAATATACTAAAAGTTGACACGTTGAAAACTAAATTTATTTTAGACATATTTGTTAGATTTTGTTACCTAACCTTAAAATTTTTCTTATTTAATTGAAATAAAGTTAACAATTCTAGTAACACAATGTACCGATCTTAGGGTGGGTCAAAAAAATCGACTATTTTTTTTACTTTATACTCTGAAAAATAGGTTGCTAGACACCTCTAGAAAATTCTTTCCAAATATGAGCTCTTAATTTTAATAGGAATGTCTCCGCTTTACAGTTTTCCATTTTTTCCTCAGTATTAGAAAAAAAAAATTCATATATCTCTATCAACTCTTCCTTAAAAATATCTCTCCTAATATGCTTGTAGGAAATTGAACGCTCTACAAAAAAGGTCTCTTACAATTTTTTCATAAACTTCACCGTTTAAAAGATATTAAACAGGGTTCATAGCGGCCGGGAAAACCGGGAATACCGGGAAAAGTCAGGGAATTTGTTATTCTTCATAAAAAACAGGGAATAGTCAGGGAATTTTAAAAATATTCATGAAAGTCAGGGAATTTAATGTTTCCAACTGGTAATTTTGTGAAAACCGGCTCTGGGTTCTTGAAAGAGAAAACTTTTTGAAACCTTTATAAGAGGTTGTTAGGGTATAAAAAAGATTAAGAAGAAAAAATTTAATGCATAAATACCAATTAGTATGTAAAAATGAACTACAAGTGACCTGGACTTTTTTTTATAAGTCAGGGAAAACCTGGGAAAGTCAGGGAATGCTTTATTACTTTTGAACTATGAACCCTGTTAAAGGTTGAAGTTTGATTATTTTAAGACAAATTTCTGTTTTGTTTATGAATTTTATAACTCGTTAACAAAAAATCATTATGAAATGCGTAACACATAGTTTTGTAGGAAATTAACTGCTCTACAAAAATGGTCATTTATGATTAGTCGATTAAATAAAGCGTTTAAAAGATATTCATCGTCAAACTTCAATGCATGCCAATTTTAACAGATTTTGATTAATAATTCGGAAAATTTCAATTTAGTTTATGAGTTTCAGGGAAATTTATACAAATTTAAGTTTCTATCGTAAAAGTAACTATTATAGAGAAGTTCTTTGTTCGAAAATTCATTTGAAACTTTTATTCTGATAATATTTTTATAAATTTTATCTCTAATAATTTAAAATCCCGATCGTGTTGTTATTTTTTTTTTTGAAAGCGTGTGTTCAGAACATATTTCAAAACTTTTTTCCACAAAATATATTTAAAATTTTTCGTTCTAGGGGATTTTTGTTTTGAATTTCATTACTTGTTCCGTTTGTCTTGTGAAATTGACGCCATCTATGTTTTTTATTCTCAACTTATCTTTAGTATCTATATGTTTCGTACCGCATTTTCAGTGTTTCTAAAACTCATGATCTCGTATACGTGATAAGATAGTCGTAATTAGTAAGTGAATATAATCAATGCTTGACAAAAAATGAAGAGCAATTTCAATTTTTATTGCAAATTGTAAAAGAACATCGCAAAAAATACCCAAACTGCAATAAAGAAATTTTTTTACAGTGAAAGGGTACAAATATTTTATAAATGTTAGAAATTTTATAATTACTTGATAATTAAATAAAAAAAACATTTTTTTCTTTAAGATTAATACTTTTCATAATAAATTT